GCTCAAAATCCACTTTGAGGAGGCAGAGGGGAAAACAAGACAAGCTCCTCATCAGCCAATGAACAGAATGCTGGGGATACCAGCACACACAACCAGCCACTCACTCCATCAGGAAGATTTGGTTCTACAAATGACCTTCACTTAATGCATGAAGTTCAGAGGAAAGAGCAGTCAGGGCTGGGAGTCTAGGAGGCAATGTTATATAGGGACCTCGAAGGAGAAGTGACATTTTGAAAAGGGGACTAGGAGGGACAGTGGCTAGATGGAAGAGCAAAGAGCAGAGATAAGTAAGTCTCTCTCTCTCTCTCTCTCTCTCTCTCTCTCTGTGTGTGTGTGTGTGTGTGTGTGACATTTGTGAAGTTCTGGGAATATTTAGAGCAGATTATGTACATCCATGTTTGATTTGATGTGGGGGATCTTGAAAGGGTACAGCAGGAAACAAGTCTGAACAGAAAGTTTTGAAGGTCTCAAATGACAGACTAAAGAGGGTGGATTTAATCTCGTACACTGTAAGCCTCTCCTGAAGAACTGAATTAGGGTATGGAATTAGAGATGGCAAAATCAGCTGCAGTTTATACCCATCTTCCTAGCACTTGGGAAGTGGAAGCAGGAGGATCAGGAGTTCAAAGCTAGCCTGGGCTATAAGAGATCATTTCAATAAACCAACCAACCAACCAACCAACCAACCAACCAACCAAGGAAAAAACAAGATGTTTGGGATGTCTGCATGACCATAGTTGAGGTTTTTTTATGATTTATGATTTATTTATTTGTATGTGTATAAGTGCTTGTCTGCTTGTATATGTGTTCCATGCGTCTAGTGATGGTAGGAGCCAGAAAGGGGACTCAGATCCCCTGGAACTGGAATGGTTGTGAGCAACCTGTGAGTGTTAGGAACTGAACCCAAGTCTTCCAGAAGAGCAGCAAGTGCGTTCCCCTTAGGGCCCAGAGACCAGGTTTGTTGTGGTGTTTGTTTTTTCAAAGGAGAGCATGAAAGTAGTCGCCCCACTACCACAAATTATACAGTTGAGCTGAGTTTTAAGACAAACCTCGCAAGCAAAATCTTCTAGAGATATCCAGATTGCTGCCTCTTTTTCTTGCCTCCTTTCGGTCATCTGAAATGATTGTGCTTTTTATCAAAAATGTCCGCCCCACCCCCAATCTCTTCCCCTTCATTTCTCTTGCTTTATCCTGTTTATTATTTTTTTCTTTTCTTTTTGGCTTTTTGAGACAGGGTTTCTCTGTGTAACAGCCCTGGCTGTCTTGGAACTTCCTTTGTAGACCAGGCTGGAACTTCCTTTGTAGACCAGGCTGGCCTCGAATTCACAGAGATCCATCTGCCTCTGCCTCCTCTGAGTGCTGGGATTAAAGGTGTGAGCCATCATTGCCCCGCATCTCGATTATTTTTAAAGAAACTGTATTAAGAAAGAGTTTGGTTTGTTGGGCATTGGTGGTGCACTCCTTTAATCCCAGCATTCAGGAGGCAGAAGCAGTCAGAGCTCTGTGAGTTCGAGGCCAGCCTTGGCCTACATAGTGAGTTCCAGGACAGCCAGGGCTATATAGAGAGACCCTGTCTCAAACAATAACAACAATAATAACAATAACAACAAAAAGAGTTCAGGTTAATATTTGAAGTCTGAATTTCTTTTTTCTTTCTTTAGATGTATTTATTTTGCTTTATGTGTTTCACTGTTTTGCCTGCTGTATGTATGTACTCTATACCCTGGAACTGGAGTTGTGTACAGTTGTGAGCCATCATGTGGGTATTGCAAACTGAACCTGGGTCCTCTGCAAGAGCAGCAAGCACTCTTAACCATTGAGCCAGCTCTTCGGCCCCACAGTCTGAATTTCAAAGTGATTTATTTCCATCAGCTAAAGTGTAGGTTCTAGAGGTTGAGCGCAACAACCATTGTTTCACATTGTTTGCTTAAGACAGGATCTACCCATATACTCCTGGCTGACCTGAACCCACTTTTTGTTTGTTTTTGTTTTTGTTTTTCAAGACAGGGTTTCTCTGTCCTGGAACTCGCTCTGTAGACCAGGCTGGTCTTGAACTCCAGTGCACCACCACTTCCTGACTTGAACTCACTATTTTGATCAGACTGGCCTGGAGCTTCTGGTGATCTTGTTTCTGCTTTCTGAGGGCTGGGATTACATGGCATCCACCACCATGCTTAGCTTGGTCCTGCATATGGGACGTTAAGCCAACAGTCTCTTGGACCCTCCATGCATCTCAAGTCACAGTTCTTGTGAGTTTTGTGGTTAACACTAGATCTTGGTAATGGAATGCTAAATAGAGGCTTGATTATAAATAAACCCCATGGCGGGCAGTGGTGGGCACGCCTTTAATCCCAGCACTCGGGAGGCAGAGGCAGGCGGATCTCTGTGAGTTCAAGGCCAGCCTAGGCTACAGAGTGAGATCCAGGAAAGGCACAAAGCTACACAGAGAAACCCTGTCTCGAAAACCATATAAATAAATAAATAAATAAATAAATAAATAAATAAATAAATAAATAAATAAACAAACAAACCCCACGGACAAAATCAGCTAATGTTTATAGGATGCTGTAATCAATATTCCAACTTAACTTCACCACTTTCCACTTAATCTACCCACTATTCTTATCTGCACCTTGTTTTGTGGTCTTGTATGTTCTCTCTCGCCCTCCCTCCCTCCCTCCTCTCCCCTCCCCTCTCCTCCACCTCCAACTTGCTATAGAGGCTGGGATGACCTTTGAATTTCTGATCCTCCTATTTATAGGTCCTGAGTGCTGAGATTACAGGTGTGCACTACTGTGTCTGCCTTTATGCAATACTGGAGCTAAAAACCAGGGCTTTGTGAATACTAGGCAAGCATTCTACCAACTGAGCTATATCCCCAGTTTACTGCTTTCTACGTTTGTTTCTTTATTGACCTTGCTAAGGCTGTAAGTGTCTTCAGATCAACAGGTCAGTGTAGTCTTGTATCTTTGAATCTCCCATAGCACTTTCACAGATTGGCAAAATGTCAATTGCACATATATGTTAAATAAAATTATTATAAAAGACTTAAGTGCTGGGGCTGGAGAGATGGCTCAGCAGTTAAGAACACTGACTGCTCTTCCAGAGGATGGGGATTGATTCCCAGCACCCAGGTGGCAGCAGCTCACAGGTCTGTAATTCCAGTTCCAGGGGATCTGGTGCCCTCTTCCCCCCCCCCCCAGCCCCAAGCACACATGTGGTACACGGATATACAAAGCAAGTAAAACACCCACATACACTAAAAAAACAAAACAAAACAAAACAAGCAAAACAAACAAAAAACAGAACTAAGTTAAAGAAGTATTCATTACATTTTATTGTTGTTTTTGATTTTGAGATACTGTTTCAACTGTAGCCCAGGATACCTGGAACTCAATATGTAACTGAGGATGACCTTGAACTCCTGATCCTCCCACTTCTACTTTCTTAGTTCTAGGACTGCATGTGTGCCACCAAGCCTGGGTTAGAGAGGGTTAGAATTCAATATCAGAAAACTGTATTTACCAGAACAATTTTCTATTCATTAGCCTGTTTACTAATTTTTAAACAATTTTAGCTATTTTTTGTTGTTTTCTTTTTTCCTGTTCACTAAATTTTTAAAAGCTGGGTTTTTGCTTGTTTTGTTTTTCCTGTCCCTAGAGGCTGGCCTCAAACTTGTGACCCTCTTACTTCAGCCTCCTAAGTGCTGGGACTACAGGTGCCACCACGGCTCCCAGGATGAAACTTATTTTTTGAGGTATCCGGGCACTGAATTGTGTTGTCGCAGCCGTCTTGAAGATCAAGAAACGCTGCCCAAGAGATTCTTGCAGACTCTTGCCCTGAATAGAGGGGTGGACGAGAGAACCTCTAAGGTCCCTTCCAGTCCCTAAAGTCTACGAAAGTGCTTTCTTTGTCAAACGTTACAGAAATAATATTATTCATCTGATGCAGGGGGAAAAGCGAACTTGTGCTATTTAAATCCTGAAAGGAAAGAGGCAAGAGAGTGCTAAATATAAATGGGATCTGAATATTAATACAACCGAAAGAGATTTACAATAGAATAAGTTACTCTGTCCCCTCCCCCTCCCTTTATTCTTTCTCCCTCTGCCCCGCCACCCCACAGCTCCCAGGGTCAGGAACTTTGGCATTCTAGTTCATTCCTTTCTCACTTGCTCATTTTCTTTCCTCAGTTGAGAGCGCTCTGCAACTGATTTCTGTCCTTGGATTCCTCAAAACCGTTTATATACAGCACATATAAATGAAAGTGGGTTCTCCACGCCCCAGGTTCTTGTGGCTGTGGGTGTCACCCACATATCGCTGAAAAAGAAACAAGGGAGCCTTGTCTTTGGCCGGTGGGAATTTGGTTCACGCAGCAGCTCAAGCCCTGGAATGGCCAGGCCTAATGGAGGTGGCCAGAGGAGGATCCCCGACCTTGAGAATAATGGTGTAAGGCCCTCTGACAGCCCCGCCGCACACGCCCTACGGTCCAAATCGGGGGTCAGTGTGCTTCTCTCGCTGGGGATATATAGCTTGAAAATGCAGTGCTTGCCTGACAGCTCTTTAGGGCCGAAGAACCGTGAGGAAGCACCAAGGAACCCGAGGAAGCCCAAAGTCGCTTGTTCCTTGGGTGTCTCAGTCAGCTAGCCCGGAGATTTTTTTTTAGGACCACTTGGAAAGGAGGGGGGGCGAAGTGAGCTGCCGGAATCCTCGGTGAATAAAGCGGGCGAAGTCGCTGTCCGGTCGGGGGAGCGGGACAAAATAAACCCGCGGGCAGGGAAATGCACTAAGGATGATAGTGCACACGGCGATTGGGCCAAAACTTTGACCAACGACGCTAGAAACTAGCACGAGAGAGGATAAAAAACAAAGAACCGAGAAAAAAAATCACCATCCACAAAGACCCGAGCCGCAAAACCCAGAGGAGGTTCCGGCCTAAAAAGTCTAAGTTGTCACGTGACAGCCCCCCGCCCCGCCCCCCCCGCCCCGCCCCGCCCCGCCCCGCGCGCCGGCTCCTCCGCCCGAGGGAGGGGACGCCTGGGGTGCCGGGGGGGGGGGCCGCTTGCGTCATTTCCGTCCAGGCCGGAACTCAAGATGGCTGCGCTCTTGCTGAGGTGACTTTAGCTTGGGGCTTGGGAGTCCGCGCCTGCGACCCTTGGGGGACCTGAACCGGTCCCTCAGGGTGGTGACAGCGGCACAAGCGTGCGGGGGACAGGGAAAGGACCCGTGGGTGTGCAGGCCGCGCCCCGGGGATCCTAGCATCTCCCCCCCCATCCCCGGGCTCCGCAGGGCTTAGAGGTCACTTTGTATGGACCAGTGGCGCGGCTGTCACTCTTCCCGCTTCGCCCACGTCTAAAGCCTCTTCCCAACTTGCTCTTGTGGTCTCACCCAGGTCCGAGCCTCGAAAAACTAACTTGGAGATCAGTTGGCCCCCAGGCCTACAGTTCTGGGCGCGCGGGGGGGTGGGGTGGGGGGTGGGGATCGTAGGGGGAGGGGCTCCTTGGTGCACCTAGTTCATGCTTCCTCGCCCCTGGCAGGTCTGCGGCGGCTGCTGCTGCTGCAACAAGTGGGGACTGTCTGGCTCCCAAACGCATCCCTCCCGTGCCGGGGTTAAGAGCAGCAGCCAGCCCGAGTGGGTCTGCCGCTGCCCAGAAAATCCACTTTGTTTTCATTTCGGTTTAGCGTTGTGATGGGGTGGGTATCCCCTCCTTTCTCTAAAAGCCAATTTCCTGTCCAGAGACATAGCCTAGATTCTCTTTCGTTCTTAATTCTTCACTCTTTAGGTGTCGTTCCCAGAGCCTTTATTAGTTGTAAGGGCCAGTGCCCTTAGACACTTACGGTACAAATCCCAACACAGTTTTGTGTCTGTCCTATTTTTGGAAGTTATTTGTTATGGAAAGTTAGCTTCAGTGCTGTTGAAATTCCAGCCCCTAATTCTCCCAAATGTGTTTTCATTTCTCTTTCCACTTCAGTCAGACAGTATAAAAATAGAGGGATTCTGTTTAGTTTTTCTTTGTTACAAAGTGAGCCTTTGGGGATTTGGATCAGTCATCTTTATCCTTCATTTTCATTTGGCTGTGCATTTCCATAGGCATCTTTTCTCTGAGATAGGACAGGAACAGGTTTTCCAGAGCTTCGTCCAGCAATCTGAATTATTTAACTGTCATTGAATGCTTTCAAATTCTTTTCTTTTTTCAGAGCTGAGGACCGAACCCAGGGCCTTGTGCTTGCTAGGCAAGCGCTCTACCACTGAGCTAAATCCCCAACCCCTATGATGTAGCACACGTTGGTGAATGTTAAGGCATGTTGGGTGAATTAACATTTAGCTTGAAATGATCATATTGGTTCCAAACTATCATTTTTAGGAGTTTCAGGATTAGTGTTTAGAGTCTTCATCTTTGGGTTCTTCCTGGATTCAGCCAGACTCAGATTGAAAATACTTGAAAAACATTAAAAAAAACAGTTTGAGTCCGTTACCTGACCAGCATTATACTGAGCCCATGTGAGTCAAACTGTAGGTATACCCTGTTGTAGTCTTCTGTCATTCAGATATTCATTCTCAGTTCAGCACTTACTGAGAATAGTTTGCTTCACCTTTTGTCTGGTTGTATCTAGACTGCTCATTGGTTATTTCTAAAGCAACTTTTTCCCATTGGTTGTGTTTGAACTGCGCATAGGTAGCACACACCCCCTTCCTAAAACCATATGGTATGACATTTATGGAACATTTAAATTATATTGGCATTATAAGTAATAGAGAAGTTATTGAAAGTATAGGACAATGTGCAGAAGACATACGTAAATGCCACACCATTTCACATAAACGACTTTATCAGCTGCCTGTGAAGGCTCACCCCAGTAGTCTCAGCACTTAGGAGACTGAGACAGGAAGGGTTGCTGTAAGATTGAAGCCAGCCTGGGCTATAGAGTGAGGCCAGCCTGGGCCACAGATTAAGAGCCTGTCGCAAAACAAAATGCTTGCTTCTAGCTATAACCTTTTACAGTTTTTCCCCCACTTTTCTTTGTTGTGGGTGTGGGTGGGCGCTCGTGTGCCGTGGCTTGTGTGTAGAGGTCAGAGGACAACTGTGAATCCTAAGGGTCCAGCTAAGGTTGTCAGACTTGATGGGAAGAGCCTTCGCTCTCTAAACCCTCTCACTGGCTCCTAGCTGCAACATTTTAAGCTCCATTCCCAGCGTAGAAAGCCTTTTCAGAGTTTCTGGTTTCACATGAAAAATGAGGATAGGTACCTGCTTTCATATTTCAAATGAAGTTATGGAGTTCCTACAGCTTGCTTCTGAGGGGCCTTGTGTAAAGCTTACATTGGTATTTGGGAAACAATAGCACTAGACAGAACATGCGATAGATTCCAACCCACATCTGCAAACTCTTGCTGGGTAGCTGAGTGACTGGGCCTAGCTTGGTGTGAGGAATGTGTGCCCTGCAGCTTCGGAGACAATTCAGTTGTTTTAAAGAGATTTGTTCCCACTTCTTTCTAAGAGCCCTGGGTACACAATGTCTGCATTCACCTCTTGCCTCCAAAGGGAAGAGAGAGAACTGAAGAGGGTTGCTTGGATTTTTCCCTTCAAATAATGGCCCCTTCTGATGCTCTGTTGTAGAGCATAAGGCTCTTAAATTGATTGTGCGTCTAGTATCAGTGATGTAATGGACATCATAAACTCATTTAGAAAATTATTGCATCTTTTTGTTTGTTTTGTTTTATTTTTTGAGACAGAGTTTCTCTGTGTAACAGCTCTGGCTGTCCTGGAACTCACTCTGTAGGCCAAGCTGGACTCAAACTCACAGAGATCTGCCTGCCTCTGCCTCCTTAGTGTTGGGATCAAAGGCATGTGCCACCACTGAACGGCTAGATATCTAACTCTTAAACTATTAGATGCACGGTTTTAAAATTTTTTAAAAGAAATTACCCAATGCCCGAACTGGCCATCTATTGTAATCAGTTTGGTGACTACCCTAACTGTCACCAGAGAGCTGTTATCTAGTAACTGATGGAAGCAGATGCAGAGATCCACAGCCAAGCACTGGGCTGAGCTCTGAGAGTCCTCCTGAAGAAAGGGAGGAGGGACTGTATGAGCCAGGGAGGTCAAGGTCATGACAGAGGATCCCATAGAGACAGCTCACCTGATATCCTGTGAGCACATGGACTCTGGACCAACAGTTAGGGAGCCTGCATGGGACTGACCTAGGCCTTCTGCATGTGTGTGTGTGTGACTGTTGTGTAGCTTGGCCTGTTTGTAAGGCTCCTAGCAGTGAGATCAGGACCTGTCCCTGGAGCTTAGCTGGCTTTTGGGAACCTGTTCCCCATGCTGGATTCCTTTGCCCAGCCTTTATGCAGGGGAAGGAGCTGGGTCCTACCTCAGCTTGAGTACCATGCTCTCTTCAAGCCCATGGGAGGCCTGCCCCTTTCTGAATGGAGACAGAGGAGGAGTGGATGGATGGGGAGGGGGTAGATGGAAGCTGGGGAGGGAACAGGAGAGGAGGAAGGGTAAACTGGTCAGTATGTAAAATAAAGGAAAAAAGTTATTAAACAAATAAATTACCCACGTAAGATATACTATTCTTTTTTTTTGGTTTGGTTTGGTTTGGTTTGGTTTTGAGACAGGGTTTCTCTGTAGCTTTGGCTGTCCTGGGACTCACTCTGTAAACCAGCCTGACCTCAAATTCACAGAGATCTGACTCTTCTGCCTCTTGACTACTGGGATTAAAGGGGTGCGGCCACCACCTGGCCCAGATTGTTGGATCTTTGTTTTTTTTTTTTTGTTTGTTTGTTTGTTTTGTTTTGCTGTTTTTAAGACAGGGTTTCTCTGTGTAGTTTTGGTGCCTGTCCTGGATCTCACTCTGTAGACCAGACTGGCCTGGAACTCACAGAGACCCTCCTGGCTCTGCCTCCCAAGTGCTAGGATCAAAAGTGTGCGCCACCACTGCCCAACGATTGTTGGATCTTAAAGAGCTCTTATAATCTCCACAGTGCCTTGCACATAGTGAATAACTCGTTACATAGAATTAATGTAGGTAAATGTTTTGACTTCTAGAACTTCATTGTGGTCACCTTCTTAAATGCTTTGGAAGTGTTGGCTGGAATTTTGAGATTAAAGGGTGTGTTGTTGAATGTTTTTCCTTTTTCACTTTCCTTTTGGCTTTTTGGACAAGGTCTTGATACAGCTCTGGCTGGCCTGGAAATTGCTGTTTAGACCAGACTGGCCTTGAATTTACAGCAGTCTTCCTGTATATCTTCCTGAATGCTGAGATTACAAGCCTAATTACCTGAGTAATTACCTGAGTTTGATCCCAGGATCCACATGTTGGAAGGAGAGAAGAAACTCCTTACAAGTTTTCTGATTCCCACATGTGTGTTGTGGCATGCGCCATCACACAGAATAAATAAAATGTAATTAAAATGCTTTAAATTATTATGGTTTATGTGTATGGGTGTTTTGCCTGCATGCATGTCCATGTACCACGTGAGTGCCTTGAACCTTCAGAGTCCAGAAAAGGGCATTGGGTTTTCTGGAACTGAAATTACAGATGGTTGTGAATACCATGTGGGTGCTGGGAATTAAACCCTAATCCTCCAGGAGAGCAGCCAATGCTCTTAACTGCTGAACCATCTCTCCAGCCCCTGTAATTTTTTTTTTAAAGTAGCAACTTTTAGGTAGAAAACATAATTATCTTTGTAAATGCTTCTTTGTGGGAATGGTAAAGAATCTTTGCTTTCTCATACTATGTATGAAAGGCTTTGTGACTTGAAATTTATCTCTGCTCTCTGGAAGTTGATGGTAGGTTTTTTTTAAATGAGTTATTATTATTATTGCGTGTGTGTGTGTGTGTGTGTGTGTGTGTGTGTGTGTGTGTGTGTACGTGTACGTGTACGTACTTGGGTGCACTGGGTGTGGCAGTCGGAGGACTTTGTACAGTTAGTTGTCTTCCATTCTTAAGTGGGCCTTGTGGGATTGGACTCAGGTTGTCAGGGTTATGTAAAGTGCTTTTATCCACTGAGCCATTTCCCCAGCTCCAGATGGTAGTTTTTGAAATGACCTAGCTTAATATCAGGACTGTCCATCCTCAAATCCCTTGTTCTTCAAAATTTAATTCATCCATTTGGAGCAGGTCTCTGCCATCCATAAACTGTGTGCTTCCCACTGTCAATTACTTACTCTGGCTTGTTGGTTTCTGCAGTGCTGGGATTAAACCCAAAGCCCCACCCTTTGAATGTTAGGCAAGCACTTTACCACTGAGCTATTAAAGCCCGCTGCCCACCCCTGTTTAACCACTTCCTGTAAGACCTAGCTTTAAAACAACAAGAACATCCGGGAGACAAACATGGAATCCTAGCACTTGGGAGGTGGAAGTACTTTAGCTACATAGTAAGTGCTGAGGCCAGCCTAAACTACATGAGACCCTGTCCTAAAAAACACAACAAATTTGTTTCTATATAATATTATTGCCTCTCTCACATAGTATTTGTGTTCATTTAAAACTTGATTTGCATTTGTAGGTAATATTTCTGATTAGTCTTTACTTAGAGTTGTAGCTTTAATTTTTTTTTTTTATTAAGAGAGGATCTTGTAGCACATGCTGACCTGAAAATTGCCATCCTCCTGTTTCAGCAGCACAGCTACTAGAATTATAATCTTATTACCATGTCCTACTTAGTTATGTACAGTCTGTTCCTCCCTCCCTCCCTCCCTCTCTCCCTCCCTCCCTCCCTCCCTCCCTCCCTCTCTTCTTCCTTTCCTCCCTCCCTTCCTCCTTCTCTCCCTTCGTTTCTTCTTTTTTGAGACAGGGTCTTGTGTAACACAGACTGGCCACAAACTCAGTATGTAGCTGAGGCTGTTCTTGAATGTCTAACCCTTCTGCCTCTGCTTACCAAGTGCTAGGACGACAGGTGTACTCCCCATGCCTGTCTTCAGGTTGTAGTTTTTCAGTCAGAAACTAGGGACGCTGTGCTTACCTCTGATGGTTTTGATGCTGGAGGTTGAACCCAGGGTCCCATGTCATTAAGCATACATTCTGCACTGAATTATACCCTCAACCCTCATTTTATTTTCAGTCAGTCTTTCCACATCTCATATAATACAAAGGAGCCAGGCATGATGGCTTATCCCTTTAATCTCAGCACTCGGGACACAGAGCCAGATGGATCCCTGATTTCGAGGCCAGTCTGGTCTGCAGAGTGAGTTCCAGGACAGCCAGGACTACACAGAGAAACCTTGTTTCACAAGCCAAGACTATATAAATAGTAATAATATAGTACAAAGGTGGGCAAGTTGATATGCTGGTGTTGGTCTCTAAATTTGTATTCTTGAATCTCTTGCAGACACCTTGGCCGTCACTGCCTCCGGGCCCACGTTAATTCTCAGCTTTGTCTCAGAAAGTAAGTTTTGAACTCTGTTGTTGTGGAATATTCCCTTACACTGTGTGAACATGTGTCACTGTGATTGGTTTAATAAAAAGCTAAACAGCCAATAGCTAGGCAGGAGGTATAGCAGGGACTTCTGGACAGAGAGCTCTGGGAAGAAGAAAGACAGAGTCACCAGCCAGACGTTGAGAAAGCAGGATGGGCAGTGCAGAGTAAAGGTGACTGAGCCACGTAAAAAAAACGTAGATTGAAAGATACGTTAATTAAGGTTAATTAAGGTTATAAGAACTAGTTAGAAACAAGCCTAAGCTATAGACCAAGCTTTCTTAATAATAAGTCGTTTTTTGTGAGTTAGTGGCCCAAAGAAAAATCTGTCTACACACTATGAATATTTTATATTATTAACTCTTTTCCTCATGAAAAGGCAGTAGAAATCTGGGTGTGGTGGCACATGCCTTTAGTCCTTGCACTCTGGAAGCAGAGGCAGGTGGATCTCTGAGAGTTTTATTTTTTCCTGCTAAATATTTATTCCTAGTTGTTGACTTCACAGTTGCCTTCAACAATTTTTTTGAAGGTTTATCGTGGAAACATCAAATACCTTATACTTTCAGAAAATACATAAGAATAGAACATTTTTGGTTCTTGGTGTTGTGCAACATGTCTTGTTTCTGAGTAAGTCTTGCAGTGTTGTGACCATGATTTTGAGCTTCCATGACCCTCTGTGTGATCCTCTGTTGGGCTGGCATTATAGACACTCCCTGCCATATCTGGTGTGAGAAGTCCTATGCTCATTTCATCCAGGTTCATCAACTGCTGACATTTTTGTTTGCTTATATAACAGGATAATATACAAGCATAGTCACTATCACTACAATTAAGAAACTAACTGATGAACGCTTATCTGATACATAGCTGATTTTCGAATTTTCTGTTTGTCCCAAATGATGTACTTTATAGAACTACAACCTTTTCTTTTCCTGCAGCCAGAACCTAGTCAGGCTCATAAATGCACTTAGCTGTCATGTTTTCCTTTTGCTTTTGATTTTTTAGGGTTGGGTTTTGTTTTGTTTTTAGACAGGGCTTCATGTAGCTTAGGCTAGTCATTGAGCTTGCTGTGTGAATAAGGATGATACAGAACTCCTGATCCTTCTGCTTCAACCTAAATGCTAGGATTGTGAACTCTTTTGCTTTTGATTCAGTTTCTCTTTATAGCCTAGGCTGGCCTTTTACTTATTATGTGGTCCAGGCTGGCCTGGAACTTCCAGTCTTCTTGCCTCTGCTGTGCCACCTTATCTCTTTATGTCCTTTCCTTTTTTTTTATTTTAATTTTATGTGTATGGATGTTCTGCCTGCATTTTTGTCTGTGTACTACAGTTATTCAGTGCCGAGGAGGCCAGTTTGATTGCCTGGGACTGGAGTTACAGTTGTGAACCACCATGTGGGTGCTGGGAATCAAACTCGAGTCCTCCGGAAGAGCAGCCTCTGCTCTTAACTTCTGAGCCACTTCTATACCCTTATCCTTTCTTAAACAAATGTGTGTGTGTGTGTGTGTGTGTGTGTGTGTGTGTGTGTGTGTGTGTGTATTACTTATTAATGTGTGTGTGGTGGGGCTCATGGGAGTGCAGGTGGATGTCAGAAAACATCTCGTGGGAGTGGTTTTCTCCTCCTACCATGTGCGTCCAGGGAGATCAAATCCAGGTCATCAGATTTGTCAGCAAGCACCTTTCCCCACTGAGCAAGCCTGATCCAACCCTACCTTAAAAAAGACATTTTAGGGGACTAGAGGGATGGCACAGTGTAAGAGCTTGTACTGTTCTTGCAGAGGACCCAGATTAGTTCCTAGCACACATATTGGGTAACTAACACCTGCCTGTAACTCCAGCCCTATGGGATCCAACACCTTCTTCAGGCCTCCTCAGGCATTTGCACTAACATACACATAACCACAACTAAAAATAAAATAAAACTTTAAAAGTGTACTTTCTGCTATGTAAAATGTGGACTTTAGTCCTTTTTGAACCTCTTGTTTTATTTTAGTGCTGTTCCTTTGGGAACCTCCGCTAAGGAAGAGATGGAGCGGTTCTGGAATAAGAACACGAGCTCAAACCGTCCTCTTTCTCCCCATATCACTATCTACAGGTAAGGGCCCTGGAGCGGGATGGTCCAGAGTTGGGCTTTCTTTACTTTTTCTGAGTATCTCCTTGAATACAGTGCCCGGGGGCAGTGGGCGGGGCAGTGGTGACAGCCCGGCCTACATTAGCATGCAGCTTCTTAACCTGTGGGTTGTCAGTGGCAGGAAGAGTCTTGAAACAAGTCGGCAGCAAGTAAAAGATTTCTGAATGCACAGCTGCCGAAAAGAAAATTGAAAGGCAAGCAGCTCATGAGTCTGAGGTGTTTCTGGTATTGCCCGCCTGCTACACCGAAGACTTCACTGAAGCCTTGGTTCTGAGTACACAGCACACACACTTTGTACTGTACATCATCAGTACTGCCATCACACCACACAACACTGAACGCTGTCCACAACACCTCTGCTCAGATTTGAGGCTGTGGTATATTTTGTTTTATATTGTAGTGTTTTTATTACACGTACAAAGTGTTCTGCTCTTGGAGAAACCTGATGGTTTAATTATGAAAAACTGACTTTTAGTACTTTTCTACTGTGATTCCTCAGCTTTTAAGTATCAAAATCTTTTAGTATTGGAATGTATTATACTAGACTGTTTGAGCTCAAAAATTTCTGTTTGTAGTCCAGACATGGTGGCGCATGCCTTTAATCCTAGCACTTGGGAGGCAGAGGCAGGCAGATCTCTGTGAGTTCGAGGCAGGCCTGGTCTACAGAGTTCCAGGATAGCCAGGCTGATCCACAGAAAAAGCCTTTCTCAATAAACAAAAAAAAAAAAAATAAAAAAAATTGCTGTTTGAGGCTGATCAAGGTGGTTCACTTGGGGTGTTGAGGCAGGAGGATCAGGAGTTTAATCCTGTCCTCAATTACATAGCAAATTCAAGGCCAGGCTGAGCTATAAAAAAAAAAACCACATAAGTTCATACTTTTGCACTTCTGTTGGAAATGTGACTCCTTCCATGAAGCTGAAATTAAGTTCTCAGGCTGAGAAGACAGTTCGGTAGGTGGAGGTTCTCCCACACTAAGCCTGACGACCTTTGACCATTTGGTCCCACACGGTGGAAGGACAGAGCTGACTCCCAGAAGTTGTCCTCCAATCTGCATTGTGTACCATGGTACACTAAATTAACAAATGAAATATTTTAAAATAAACAAACATGTTAACAGAGGCTGGCTTCTTTTCCTTTGCAAAGTTCTAGGGGAAATCCATTTCTTTTTGCAGTTTCTAGCTTCTAGGGGCCACATGACTTACTAATTTATTTATTTATTGGTGTTTTAGACTGAATCTTACATAGCTCAGGCTGGCTTCAGACTCGGTGTGTAACTGAGGCTGACCTTGAACTTCGTGTCCTGCTGCCACCTTCCAGATACTGAGTTACAGGTTGAGTGCCACCACACTTGCCTTGTTGCACATACCCTTTGGATTTCCTCTGTCTGCAGGGCAAACCTTGCTTTCTTTCAAGGGTTCCTGTCTTACACAAAAGTTACACTCTTTTACGGTCATTGTTTACTTGGATGCTCAAATTGTTCTAGCAGTGGCTACTAGAAGTTCTTCAGTGTGGCATCAGTATTGGAGTGTTAGATGTGCTCGTTCCTACCAGCACATCATTGACTGTAGGTCCTCTCGTTGGATAGGGCTGAGATATATACTGTGTTTTCAGTCGTGTGTGTGTGTGTGTGTGTGTGTGTGTGTGTGTATTTATACATACATGTTTATGTTTGTTCATCTCTTGTATTCTGAAGTAGAGGTGCTAGCTGATTTTGTTTTTGTCTTCTAAGAGAATCCCTGTGGGTCTTTTTACAAATTAAGAATAGATAAATAAGCACTAATTCAGAGAAGCATCTTGAGCTTTGCTGCCCTCTTTCCTTGGGTTCCTGCCAGGGGATACTGGCCATTTTTTTAACCACCTCCACAAATACCACAACCCTTTAGGATTTTTTTCCAACTCAGATTCCAGAAATAATTTTAATTGTAGAAACTGGGCATTGTACCCTAACAGAAGGTTAATACGTGATCTTAGTAAATGGTGAGAACCTGCCTCAAAAATGAGAGAGGGTAATTAAAAAATTTTTTTTTAGAAAAAAGGGTTGGGGATTTAGCTAAGTGGTAGAGCACTTGCCTACCAAGCGCAAGGCCCTGGGTTCTGTCCTCAGCTCCGGAAATTAAAAAAATAAAAATAAAAATGAGAGAGGGAGTTGGAAGGGGTAGGATTATGAGGATGGAGATAGTTCCAAATAAGCCTGGACTTTCTTCACAAGTCATTTGAAAAAAAAAAATGACATTAGGTCCATTTATGGAACTTTGCATGGAAAAAGAAACATCAGGAAACGTGGGTCTGTTTCCTAGATAATATGTCAAGGAAGGATGTCTGAAGTAGCTAACATTGTACTTTTTTTCTGTTTCTTTATTTTTGGAAACAGAGCCCTACATCGTCCAGACTGGCCTTCAACTGTTGTTTGTTTTTGAGGCTGGTCTCACTGTGTCGCCCTGAGGTCACAGGCTTGAGTCACACAAACAGCACGTTTGCTTTCCAGTTGTATCAGCTCTGAGTGGTCTAATTGGTACCAGTATGGGGGCCCCGGGTGAAGAGTTAAGAGTTGTATTTGTTTCTTCTTCCCAATGGTAGCAGTGATTCGCTTTTGTAAAATCAAGGGGGATAACTTTTAAACAATATTGTTATTTGATAAATGAGTTGTTTTGGTTGTTGTTTTGCATGTATATATGTACACCACCTGCATGCCCTGTGCCTACAGAGGCCAGAAGAGGGCACCAGATGCCCTGGAGCTGGCTTACATGTCATGGGTTCTGGGAACTGAATCTCTGACCTTTGTAAAAAGCAAGAGTTTTTAACTGCTGAGCCATTTCTGCAGCCCCAAGAGATACTTTGTATTTTTACTTATTTATTTACTTTTGTTTTGTTTTTTGAGACAGGATTTCTCTGTGTAGCCCTGGCTGTCCCGGAACTCACTCTGTAGAGCAGGCTGACCTGCTCTACAAACACAGAGATCCGCCTGCCTCTGCCTCAAGACTGCTGGGATTAAAGGCATGCACCACCACATCTGGCTTTTTTTTTTTTTTTTTTTAGATACTTTTAAAAATAAGTCATTTTTCTTGTTCTTTTTTACAGTGGATCCAACCCAGGGCCTCATGCAGGATACATAAGCATTCCACCTCTGAGCTGTATTCAGTCAAATTTCTTATCTTCAAATTTGGAAGCTGGAAATAGGGCTGTGAAAGCTAGGAGGAGACTTCTTGTTTTTTGTTTTTAAGGATTTATTTTATGTGTATGGATGTTTTGCCTGTGTACATTTGTATATACCAAATGTGTGCTTGATCCCTCAGAGGTTAGAATGCTTGACAGATCCCCAGAACTGGAGTTAGAGATGGTTGTGAGCCACCATTCAGGTACTGGGAACCAAACTCAGGTCTTCTGCAAGAATAGCAAGTGCTCTTAACCATTAAACCATTTCTCCAGCCCCAGATGGTTTTTGTTTTTGTTTTTCTTTTTTGTTTATGTCATCCAAACCAAAAAACAACCAACCAACCAAACAAACAAACAAAACCCTGCCATCCTTTTTAAAAATTGTCTTTGTATGTTTCTTTGTAGTTGGTCTCTTCCCATGACAATGTCCGTTGGCCACCGTGGCACTGGTATAGCCTTAAGTGGAGGTATGTATATATATTGACACACACACACACACACACACACACACAGATCTTTGTGTGCATGAAGGGATCTTTGAAGAGCTGCTGTTTCTGACTCTCATCCCTGCCTCCTTTGCACCTCAGCAACCTGATTTAGAGTGAATGTAAGTCCTTTAAGCTTGGCCTTCCTTCCTTCCTTCCTTCCTTCCTTCCTTCCTTCCTTCCTTCCTTCCTTCCTTCCTTCCTTCCTCTCTCTCTCTCTCTCTCTCTCTCTTTCTTTATTTTTATTTTATTTATTTATTTATTGTTTTTTTTCAAGACAGGGTTTCTCTGTGTAGCCTTGGCTGTCCTGGATCTCGCTCTGTAGCCCAGGCTGGCCTCGAACTCATAGAGATCCGCTTGCCTCTGCCTCCTGAGTGCTGGGATTAAAGGCGTGCGCCGCCGCCGCCGCTGCCGCCACCACCACCACCCGGCCATTTTTTTTTTCATTTATGTTTACAAGTGTTTTTCCTATATATGTGTATGTACTATGTGCATGCCTAGCGCCCAAATTGGCCAGGAGAAGGCACTGGCTTCCCTAGATCTGGAGTTGCAGATGAACAACCACATGGTTGCTGGAAAATGAACCCAAGTCCTCTGGAAGTGCAGCCAGTACTCTTAACTGTTGAGCCATCTCTCCAGTCTACATGTTTTATAAGATCCATTTTTATTTTTATTACTTTTAATTATGTGTACACATGAGTACAGGCACCCTTGGAGCTGGAGGTGTTTAATCCCCTTGGAGCTGGAGTAAAAGTTGATGTGAGCTACTCAGTGTGGCTTTGGGGACCCAAACTCAGGTTCTCTGCTACATCAGTATCACTGTAACTGCTGAGCCATCTCTCCAGTCTCCCATACATGCTTTTATGTGGTGCTAGTTTCAAACTCAGGGCTTGTATGTGTGAGTCAGCATTTTGACAGCTGAACTACATCCCGACTTTCTCTATTTCCAAGTGGTTTAGAATTATATCAGGTAGCCGGGGGTGGGGGGGTGGGGGGGTGGGGGGTGGTGTATGCCTTTAACCCCGGCACTTTGGGAGGCAGAGGCAGGTGGATCTCTGTGAGTTCGAGGCCAGCCTGGTCTGCAGAGTGAGTTCCAAGAAAGGTGCAAAGCTACACAAAGAAACCCTGTCTCGAAAAACCAAAAAAAAAAAAAAAGAGGAATTGTATCAGGTGTCAATAGCTTCCTAGAGCCCAGTTTAACACATGACATTACTTGTAATTAACAGGACGCTTGCTTTTCTCTCAGGGGTCTATCTTTTTGGCCTGTCTGCCCTGCTGCTTCCTGGGAACTTTGAGTCTTACTTGATGTTTGTGAAGTCCCTGTGCTTGGGGCCAGCAGTGATCCACACAGCTAAGTTTGTGCTTGCCTTTCCTCTCATGTACCACGCGTGGAATGGGATCCGACACTTGGTAAGTTTCCTGGATAAAGAGGGTGGGGAGGCTGGGAGGGTCCTCCCCTCTTTCTAGGTTTAGTGCTCTTTTTCCTTTGCCTGTCCTCCCGCCCCCTCTTTTGAGGCTGGGCTCACTGAACCCAAGGCTCTTGCACATGCTGTACCTCTAACCGTAGCGTGACCCTCCTTTCTTGTTGACACAGGGTATTTCACTACGTAACCCTGGCTGACAGGAGTACGCTGTGTAGACCAGAATGGCCTTGAATCTGTGGTTGTCCTCCTGACTCTGCATCCTAGGTGCTGGGATTATAAGCATGAGCACCACACATGGCCCAACCTTGTCTGTCTGTCCGTCTGTTTTAATTTTATTATTTATTTATTATTCGTATTGTGGTCCGGGGGCTTGAACTCAGGTTATCAGGCTTGACAGCAAGTACCTTTTCCTGAGCCATCTTGCCAGCCCTCTTAGTTCTTAAGGCTAATTGTACTGGATCTTTACTCAAGTCCTTTTGGGGAAGCTAAACAAGGCCCCTCCCGAATTCCTCTATGAGTATGTGTTAGGCCAGTGCTGAAAGGGGTCATTGTGGACTTTCCCACTTTTAAGAGACATATAATTATTAAAAGACCCTTGAAACCAGATCTGGCAAAGAAGACATATCTATTAGGTAGCTATGAACTGGTGCGTGTAAATTGTCAAGCACTGTTCTTGACACTGGGAATTTAATAATGAGCGAGATAAGCAGTTACTGCTTTCGGTGTAACGTTCCTTTCCACCCAGAGTGACAAGTCTGGTTAGATTCGAGTATATCCACGTGTTTTCCTCACTTTAGATTGTACTGAGTAACTGGAGAGTGAGAGCAAACACAAGCTAGGTGCCAGAGAGTCCAGCCAGGGTGGCTGTGTGCTTGTTGTCATGGTTTGTTCGTGTGCTGCTGGGTCGTGTGCATGCTAGACAAACACTCTACCACATAGCTATATCTCCCATCCTTTTTTTTCCCACACTTTTTACCAGTTTAAATTTGATTTTTATTTTCATTTGTATGGGTGTGTTGCCTCCCTGCATGTCTGTGCACCCACAATGTGCATGTTTGTTGCCTGTGGAAACCAGAAGAGGATGTGGTTATGTGTATTTGGACCTTTTCGTCAGATCCACCAGCTCCCCAGTAATGACACAGAGACTTATTAATTATAAAGGCTTGGACATAGCTTAGGCTTGCTACTAACCAGCCCTTACAACTTAACCCATTTCTATTAATCTACGTTTTGTCAAGTGGCTTGTGGCTTTACCTGTCCTCCAGCATGTTTTGCTCCCTCTGAGTCTCCTGGCAACCCCATCTTTCTTCTTCCCAGCGTCCTCTGTGCCTGGCTGTCCCACCTGTACCTCCTGCCCAGCTAATGGCTGTTTAGCTTTTTATTAAACCAATGCCTTGGCAAAAAACACATCTTCACAGTGTGCAAAAAGATTATTCCACAACAGTTATGAGCCACCTTGTGGGTGCTGGGAACCAAACTTGGATTCACTGGAGGAGCAGGCAGTGCTCTGAACACTGAGCTGTCTCTCCAGCCACTCCTTTTTTTTTTTTTTTTTAAATAATTTATTTATCTTTATTTTATGTGTGTTGGTGTGAAGGTGTCAGATCTCCTGGAACTGGAGTTACAGAGAGTTGTAAGCTGCCATGTGGGTGCTGAGAATTGAACCCAGGTCCTCAGTGCTCTTAATGGCTAAGCCATCTCTCCAGCCCGCCCACCCCCCCTTTTTTAAAAGAAGGTCTCATGTAGTCAAGATTGACCTCAGACTCACTATTTAGCAAAGAATGACCTTGAAATTCTTATTCTCCCAACTCTAATTCCAAATCTCCGACTGCTGGGATTTTGTAGGTTAGTGCTATCATGTCTGGTTTATTTATTCTTGGCTTTTTGAGACAGGGTCTCATAAAACTTAGGTTGGCCGTAAGTTTACTGTGTATCCAGGACTGGCTTTGAACACACCCAGATTACTGTTATATTTTCAGACAGGGATTTACTCAATTGCCCAGACTGCCCTGGTCCTCACTCTGTAACCAGGTTGGCCTTGAATTCATCATCTTCCTGCCTGGCAGGTTTGAGCATTGTAAGAGTTCGTATTTTGTGATCCCTACTCTTATGTCCTTCTCCAAGAAATAGTTAAAATGTATTTTTCTAGTCTTCCATTATTTCTGAACCCAAGCAAAATGTCAGCTGGATGCTTTTGCCTTAGTTTGACCTTTTATAATCTCATCAGAGACAGCCTCAGAGACAAGCATTTTCTGGATTTCAGTCTGGTCCAGTAGACAGTTGAATGAAAAAAAAAGTGAGAGATTAAATGATCTATTAAATTAAGTGTATTTATCAAGTGTTCCCTGGAGCGATGTTCAGTGATTTGAAGTGACTTTTATTCCTGAGGGAGACAGTGGGAAGAAAAGGAAGTTTCATTAATGGCTCTTGACTCCACAGAACAAAGCTCTGTAAAGAAATCAGCTGAAGGCTTCACATCCTGGCTCAGGCAGGGCCTTATTTCTGTCTGTTTTTGTCTTAATACGAGTTGGACTTAGGGATCACCTAGCAATCCTAGAACTCAGGCTTTTTGCCCTGGTTCCTGTCCATTCTGATCATCTCTTTGTTGAGATAAGTGAAGCACCTAAAGGCTTTATTAAGCCCTAAATCTGCTTTTAAGTTTTTCTTCTAACAAGCACTAGCTCTGGGTGCAGGTCAGGTTTTAACTGTTTGCCATGAAATTGTATGTCTTAGCAGTTGCCTGGCTGGAAGGTCTGCTAGGACGGGGAAGTGGTGTGGTTGTAAAGGAGGAGATGTAGACCTTTGACCCACCTTCTAGAGGCTTCTCTTGCCACTGCTGCCCAGCAGGACTCAGTGTCTCATGAAGCACTGTGCCTCTGTGAGCAAATCTGCTTCACACTTGATGACATCTAGGTGGAAGCTAGCTGGGCATTGAGACCAGGGGATCCTCTCACCTTGATTTCTTCCTGGATACCCTGTGGTATTTGTCTGCAGTGCCTCCTGATTCAGTCAGTGTTATAGTCAGACTATGGAGGTTCATGTGTTAGAATGTGTTGAGGCTGCTTTTGTGTGCTAAGTATGAAACCTGAATAGCACTTTTTGCCCTAGAGCAGTGGTTTTCAACCTGTGACCCTTAGTTTCTCATATGGTGGTGACCCCCCCCCCAACCATAAAAGTATTTTATTGCTATTTCATAAATGTAATTTTGCTACTGTTATGAATCATAATGTAAATAACTGATAAGGAGGCTACCTGATAGGTGACCCCCACAGGTTGAGAACCACTGCCCTAGAGTGTTCATACCCTTAGGGAGCAAGAGAATCTAGAGCTTGGTTTTGTTTGTTTTGTTTTTTGTGCTGGAGGTCTAACTCAAGTTAGCACATAAAAGGCAAGTGCTTTTATACCCCTCCCCCCACCCCCACCCCCGCTCTTAGTGAGGTTATAGTAAAAAAAAAAAGTTTGAGAGCCAGGCATGGTCCCAGCTGTTTAGGAACCTGAGGTTGGAGGATCTCTTGAGCCTAGGAATTTCGAGTGTATCCTTGGTCAATATAGTGAAGTCCTGGATGGGAGAAAATGGAAGAAGAAAGAAAGAAATTGAAAATTAAGATTCTGTTGGGGTGGTGGTGCATGCCTTTAATCCCCTGCTCAGGCAGGCAGATTTCCTATGAGCTTGAAGCCAACTTAGTTTACTTAGAGAGTTCCAAGCCAACCAGGAATATATAGGAGATCATGTCCAAAAGAAAAAAAAGACAGGCTGGGCGGTGGTGGCGCACGCCTTTAATCCCAGCACTCGGGAGGCAGAGGCAAGCGGATCTCTGTGAGTTTGAGGCCAGCCTGGTATACAGAGTGAGTTCCAGGTCATCCTGGGCTACGCAGAGAATAAACTGAGGGGGGGGATTTTTAAATGAGGGAGATACAGCTCAATTGGTAGAGTGCTTGCCTAGCATGTACAAAGCCTTGGGTTTGATCTCCAGCACACATAAACTGGATACTGTAATCCTAGCACTCAGAAGGTGGAGGCAAGAGGATCAGAAGTTCAAGGTTTTCCTTGACTACCTGATGAATTCAAAACCATCCTGGGATCCATGAGATCCTATCTCCAAAGAGAAGGAGAGAAGGCATTAGTTCTAGGTCCCAGAATATAGTCTGTAAAATATCAGTCCTTGAGGATGAGTCACCAAAGAACTCTGTGATTGACTCTACTGGAGAGTCACAGACTACAGTAGTAAATTGCTTGCGAAACTTGCAAGTTATGTGTTTACCAAATTCATAGAACCACAGAACTTCACCACCTCCACATAATGCCTTACACTGTGCAGAAATATGTTTGGGCCAGACATGGTGAATGCCTGTAATTCCAGCACTTGGGAAATTTAAACAGGAGGACCTTGGGTGTGCTCACCCTGAGCTACATGGTGAATTCTATGCTAGTCTGGATTATACAACACGATTCTATGTCAGAAAACAAAACTATGTTTTGAAGGAATATCTTTCCAGAAATGTTGATCTACATGTGCTCTCATGTCGGGGGAGGATATGTGCACAGTCTGGAAGCTTTTGTATGAAGGGCCCTTGGCGTTGTGGAGAACATCACCCAATCTCTGCCACATGAGGGGACTTGATTGTCAGTCATTGGGGAAGTGGGTGGTGGTACTGTGTTGTGACTTTTAGAAGAGTGAAATTGGGCATAGGGATGTAGTACTTTTCTCTGGAATCCCATAGAAGGCAGGGACCCATTCAGCAGGTAGATTTCTGAGAAAGGAATTGTAAGAGTGGCCGGGGTTCTAATTACTGAAAATAAAACTAAAAACTTTCCCCTCTTTTTATTTTTCCCTACAGATGTGGGACCTAGGGAAAGGCCTGGCGATCCCCCAGGTGCAGCAGTCTGGAGTGGCCGTCTTGGTTCTTGCTGTGCTGTGCTCTGTGGGGCTGGCAGCCATGTGAAGAGCTGAAATTCCAGCATGGTCCTATACATTATCACCCTCATTTATGTCCCTGTTTATCACTCTTGTCTCCATCCACCACGGTTCCCCCGATTTGTAGATGCCATGAGTTTCATATCCCGTTGGAGCTCAGTACAGAAGCTTGAAGAACCATAGTAGTAGAGAAAGGTCCTTCTCCCTGGGCCCAGGAGCCCCTACTCCCTCTCCACATTTGACTTTGATTTGTGCTGAGGGTCGGCTTTCGACTCCTTCTTGCTGAGACCGTGGAAACAATGCCAGTTCTGTGGCTGCCCTGGGTGCCACTGCCTGTGGGCTGCTGGCTTAAAGGACAGTTCTGTTCATTGGTCTGCTCAGGGCCTTCAGCACCCACACAGTGTGACTGAGAGGAGAGAGGTGGAGGGGGAGGGATTTGCCCTGTCCAGCTAGAGAGAGATAAAGAGCGAGTTGATCTTGGAAGCTCGTGCTTGGGGGAAAAGATATACAGCTTTTGATGGATGAGGAAGAGCCAAAAAATTGTATTTTCTGTTCTTTCTGTTTTTCACTTCTAATAAAAACGCCTTTAATGTCCTGTTTTCTAATCTAAATTCTTGTACCGTCTTCTTTGGAAACGATTAAAATACTGCTCATTTCATGTTTGACTCTTTGAAATTTAGTGAGGATTAGTAGAAAGGATCTCATTTCTGCCCTTTCCTTTGTGTCTTGGACATTTACACCCTCCAGAATGACCTTTCCTAGGAGAGAAATAGTTTGTTCCACAACTGAGCACTGGAGAAAAATTGAGGTAATCACATACAAGTAGTGAGAGATTTGGGTACTACGAGGAAGCCTCAGAAAAGAGTAAAGAGGGGGCAGCTAAGCATGTTGAGCTGTTTTTGTTTGTTTGTTTGGTTAGTTTTTGAGCTCAGGTTTCTCTTTGTAGCCATGGCTGTCCTGGAACTTGCTCTGTAGACCAGGCTGGCCTTGAATTCACAGAGATCCGCCTGCCTCTGCCTCCTGAGTGCTGGAATTAAAGGCGTGCGCCACTACTGCCCAGCTCTGTTGAGAGCTTTTAAGGTCTTACGCAGGGTCCCATCCCATCCTGTGGATAGCCAGTTATATAACTCATGGTACAGTTCAGCAAGTATTTCATTTAAGGACACCTGGCACCAGTGGAGGTGACAGCTGAGGGCTGATGACTTACAAAGGCAGATTTGGGCAGTGAGGTGGGGTTGGGGCGACTAGTAGAGAATTTTTTAAAGTGGAACAAGGGTGTCAGAATCCCAGAAAATATATGTAATAGGAAAACTTAGTATTTGACCCCTACTGGGACCCTGAATCTTTAGCAGGAGTGCTTTGTTTAAGGTGCTAGAGGTCAAAGTCAGGTCCTTGTACATGATCTAGTCCCCCAGCTCAGAGTGCTGTCTTGATAGTTTTTCCAGCTCTGGAATAAAAGATTCATCTTGGGACTAGGTATTTGGCTCCATGGTAGTATGCACAGAGCCTGTGGTTCGGTCCCCAGCACCAAGAAAAACTACTCCAGATCAGTCAAAGCAGTGGACTGAGGAATGACGTGGCCATTGAACAGGAAGACAACGTGAACTCGGCGCTGGGGTGGGGTGGGGTGCTGCTTTAGTAGTCTCTTGAAATCTGAGAAGGGCCTCACCATGCATCCCTGACTGGCCTGGAACTTTAACCCAGGCTACTTCCAGCTGGTGCCACCTTGTCTGCCCCCTGACTGTGCGTTACCACACCCTCTGCTCTCGGCCATCTCTATCCTGATGCCCAGTAGTCACTTCCCCCTTTTCTCTAGACGGGCCCTGCCTGGGAAGTCTTTTGTGGGGCTAGGGATTGAACCTAGGGTCCCATTCATGCTAGGCAAGCACAGCCGTAGCCCCAGCCCCCACTGTTAGGTTGTTTATTATTATTATTATTATTATTATTATTATTATTATTATTATTATTATTATTATTTTGAGACAGGCCTTACCAAGTTAAGGCCAGACAGCAGACTGGTGATCTTCTTGCTTCAGTCCCCCAAGTAGCTGGAATCACAGGACGGTGCCACCACATCTGACTATCCTGGGAGGTCGTGCAGAGTTCCTCCAGCTTGAATCGGCTGTCTTCCAGGTTGTCAGTGTTCATGGGGAAACACCTTTGGCTTTAGACTTGGCATTCAGCTTAACCAGTGCCAGAAAGATGCACAGCAAGGGCAGTTTTTAATAGGTTTGGAGGCTGGGGAATGGATGTGGATTTCTTGACTGTTTTGATGGCTTCTTAACCATCCAGTGATGGGAGGGGAAGTTGGAGCACCCTGGCTTTTTTCTTTTTCTACTTACGAGCTGGTCTATCCGAGATAGCTCAGTGGGTATATATATATATGCTTCAGCCGCCAAGCCTGACGACCTGAGTTCGATTCCCAGGATCCACGTTGCAGAAGGAGGCAACCAGCTCCCACAGTTGTTCTCTGACCTCCACAAGCTTGAGGTGTATATATATTCATTCAGGTGTACATATATTCATTAAGTAAATGGATAAACATAAAAAGTTTCACAGGCTCTATTAAACAACTGTATTTGTTGTGATTTTGAAGATATTGGTTGTACAAAGTTCGGTTCTCCAAAGTTCGGTTTTGCCCTTATGTGATGCAGACTAGCTTCCTCTTGGTCAATGCTGAAGTGTAACTGACATTCTTAATAAAGACCTGCTTGCCAGGTGGTGGTGGTGGTGGTGCACGCCTTTAATCCCAGCACTCGGGAGGTAGAGGCAGGTGAATCTCTGTGAGTTCTAGGCCAGCCTGGTCTACAGATTGAGTTCTAGGATCGTCAGGGCCACTCGGAGAAACCCTGCCTTGAGAAACAAAAAGACTTGCCATCCTTTTCCCTGCTCCCTTCCCCAGCCTTCCCTCTATGGATTGCAAAAGACAGTCATAGAACGAGGAGAAAACCCAGGTCAGTACAAGATTCAACAAACAATGTTTATTCACCCAAATTTGCCATTACTCCTGGCCCATCGTTTCTCTGCTCCCCGTTTCTGAATACAGGAGGTCTTACTTATTTCAGTCAGTCCCTAAAATGTCATCTCAGCCTCCTCCCCTGCAGATTTGCAGCATTGCATGTCGATCTCGGCTAGACCAGGACCTACCTGCTTGGTATTCTAACACGGGCTTGCAGGTGGGCTCTTGGGAGAGTTAATGGGAGTTTGGGGGCCTGGTGTGTGACCTGCAGAGGGGTGTGAGCTCTGAGTTTCATCTGCGTCATCACCGTCAATGGTCGGGGAGCTGGGAATTATGGTCGGATTTGCTGCTTGCTGTACAGTCTTTGTGACAGATTTCTTCTGTTTCTTCTGACAGTCAGGGTTATGGGGCTGTTGGGGTTAGAGTGGAAAAGATGATCATATTTCTTGTTAGGCCTACATAGTTCCCAGTCATCCTTAGAATCTGGCTCCCTTTCTTCCTACACCATGGGCAGGTCAAGGTTCGGCCAAGAATAGTTAAATTTAACCTCCCTTCCAGACTGTTTTCTACTGGGGTGAGGGGTGTGGAACAAGATGGCCTTGTTTTGTTCCTTTGAACCTTAGTAATTAGAGCTTAGACAGCAGAAGACAGAACTGGTTAGAGGCCCCTCCCCTTGCTGGATTGGCATGACAGTTTTGAAGTGGAAAAGAAATGGAGACAGTAGTTTGGGTTAGATGGGAAGGCTAGATACCTTGCCTAAGATTTCAGGACGCAGCCCATTAGAGGCATTGAGTAGATCGGGATTCTTCTTTATCCACTTGGTGAGAGAGGCAGCAGCATCCGTTGTGCGGGAGGTCAGGGTCACCCGAGCAGGTGGTACCTTCAGGGGCATTTGCCAGGTGCCCATGAAGGAACCCCAAGGACTTGCCTAAAAGAAAAAGGCATTGCTCAACAGATCCCCCTGGATGCTAAGTGTCTGCCTGGCAGGGCTTGCTGGCCTCACATCCACTCTGTCCCTTTGGCATCTTAATAATGAAACATCTGAAGGGATCATCTCCCCTCTTCCTCTCTTCCGCCAGTTACGATGCTGTTTTTCAGCCCCTTTCCTTCCAATGTAAATTTTTTTTTGCATTCTTAAGCTAAGTGTGATAAAAGAGTCCCATGCATAAATACTATCATCTGAAAACATTGTTTATATATTCATCATTTTCAGGACTTCCATGTGCTAAGCCAGCTCTGTCCTGGTGGATAAACTGGATAGAACATAGGGGCGCTCACAAATTGGGCTTCAATTTTCTATGTAGTGACTGTAGCTCCGTTTTTATGCATCAGCTCTTTTTGTTTTGTTTTGAGACAACATCTCTATATGTAGTCCTAGCTGGCCTGGAATTCACTCTGTAGACCAAGCTGACCTCAGACTCACAGAGATGCTCCTGCCTCAGCCTTCTGAGTGCTGGGACTAAAGGTGTGACCATCACACCTGGCTGACTCTTCCCTTTTTGCTATGAATGGGCGTGGGGAATCTTACCTTGGAACGGGGCACTGAAGGCAGGAGATGACCTCGATCGTTGGCAATAATCTGAGTGTAGCCTTCATGGGTAGTGATTGTCTGTGGTGGGGGTGGGAAGAGAAGTACTTGAAGTCAAAGAGGGAGGAAAACGGTGTCTGAGGGGCATGGGAGAGGAGAAGGTGGGCCATTAGAGGGCTAAAGGAGCTAGGTGACAGGGAGGCCATGAGGCCAGTCACCATAGACTGGCATTGGAAGGCACTGAGCTCAGAATACCTCTTTTGTTGGCTTGGCAGGAGACCAGTTCTGCAGGTACTTGGGTGAGAACGCTTTTTCATACTGTGGAGAAAGAGGAGAGTTCCTGTGAGGCTCAGAGTCTTCAAGCCCATGAAACGATGACAGTTCTCTTCTAATTGAAAACCAAAGGCCTCAACAATTATATGAACTCTAACTCATTGTGACAAGGGGATCTATATAGGGAGGAAGAGATTTTAAGTGAGGGGGAACTAAGTGATGGGTAGCAAGACCTTGCCTACACACACACACACACACACATGAAGAAGAAGAAGAAGAAGAAGAAGAAGAAGAAGAAGAAGAAGAAGAAGAAGAAGAAGAAGAAGAAGAAGAAGAAGAAGAAGCCACTAAAATTTGAATTCTAAGTGAACAAAATGTTTTCTCCAAAAAAATTTCAAAACTGTGTAGACAGGGTCCCATTTTCTGGCTGGCCTGGAACATCCTATATAGACCAGGCTGGCCTCAAATTTTCAGTGATTACTTTGCCTCCTTGTACTAAGTAACTAGGATTACAGGTATGTTGTACAGTGGTCAGATTTGTGTGTCTGTCTGTGTGTGTGTGTGTGGGGGGGGGGTCTCATGGAGCTCAGGGTAGCTTTGGATTCAGTATGTTAGCCAAGGATGCCTTGAGCACCTGATCCTCCTCCTGCCTCCAAAGTCCTGGGGTCACTGGGGAGTACCTCTACACTTGCCTCAGGTATTATATCTTCAATTTTTCCAAAACAAATTAGGGACAACTTTCATGTAAATAGCTATGACTTTGCTATTTGACTTACAAAGCCTAAAAGGTGTACTCTGGCCTGTAAAAATAAAATCAATGCCTTCTGGCTTACACTCTACAAACTTAACTCAGGTCCTTTTTGCTTGTTCCTGGACCCTCCCAACTCTGAGGTGAAACGCCACCTCAACCCACTCAGCATCTGTTTAGGGATCAGAATCTGATGGAGGGGGAGGCCCAAAGGTAGAACCCGGAAGGTAAAATCAAATGTGAGGGCGGAGAACGAGAACTTACCTGGTTGGCACTGTAGTTAGTGGCCATGATCCTGTCCTGTTTACACTTGTTGCCTGGCAACTGAGAAGAGCGGCCTTCTGGGAGTTCCTCCCAATCAGGAGTTCCTCCCAATCAGCAGGGGTGGCCTACCTTCCGTGGCTCACACTGCCCCCTTCCTTTCTCTCTGAAAGTCAGGCTCCTTTTTCTTTTAGAGTGTGGAGGACTGAATAATAAACATTAAAAAAAAAGATGAGCTGAGAAGTTAGCCCTGCTTCAGAATTTCCAGGTTGTCCCTGAATGGCAGCTTCACCTATGCAAACAAGCTTTGGGACACCAGGAGCAGAGGTTGTGAGACACTGTGGTATAATGAACTAACTGGAGAACTAGCAACAGGGCCCAGTCCTTAGTCAACATGGTATTATATGTCTTAAGCCGCTGGCTTTCCTTCGGTCAACAGCTCTCGTCACATATTGTAGAGATGACCTGCTTTGCACAGTGTAGGATAACGTGAATGAAATATCTAGATGCTGTAAACGCACAGTGGGAACTGAACACAGCCAAGACACTGTCTACAGATAACAGAGGCACCGTGCTTAGGAAGCCACCATCTTATTTGCTCCCAGAAGGAAATGTATGTCTTTGTCCTTCGTCCGTAAATGACTCCTCCATCACTGTCCAGTCACAGAACCCAGGAGCGTAGGTTCATGGGGTTGGCTGGGATATGGCAACTCAGGACCTAGGGCAGGAACCTGAGCAGGGATGATGACAGTCTAAGACTAAAGTACCAGGTTTGGGAAGATGGAGTGATGGCGCCCAAACGTACTAGCTAGAAAACTAAGAAACGCTCTGAGACGCATCTGCTTTTTTTTCTGTTAAGCAGATCTACTCATCTACTGGGGTGTTAGAACTAAAGAGCGCTTGTCAGTTATATAGTCTCGAGTTTTGGGGATTTTTTGTTTTGTTTTAGTTTTTTTTTTTTTTAAGAAGAAAATAAGTTGTCCAAAGAAATGGATACTTCAGAACCAGGTATGACTGTGCATGCCTGTGATCCTAGTATCCAGGAAGCAGAGGCAGGAGGATCTCGAGTTCAAGATCAGCCTGGGTTACATAGTAGGACCCTATCTTAAAAAAATAGAGGGACTCACGATGCCCCACTCCTCCTGGGGCAATATAGGCAGTGGCTGGGGGAGGGGCTCACACGGCCCCACCCTTCATGTGGAGCCAGTGGCAGTTAATGGTTGCCGGGGGAGGGCAAGATCTTTTTCTTTAGGGTTGTAGCCAGCCGCTGGTAGGTTGCCCATATTCCTGTCAATAGCCTCCCGCTCATGCAAGCAACTCTGAGCTCAGTAGGAAGGGCACCCACACACTTACACGCACACCAGGGCATGGCGGTGCCTTTAATCCCAGCACTTAGGAGGCAGAGGCAGATGTAGCTCTGTGAACCTGAGGTCAGCCAGGTCTACATAGGAAGTTCCAGGCCAGCCAGGGCCACATAGTGAGACTTTATCTCAACAAACAACAAACGTCCACATAACATGGGAGGGGGACTTGTTGGGGAGCAGAGGAGGTTCATTGGGAGTTGGGGATAAGAGAGGATAAGAGGGTAAATATGATCAGAATAGATACATGTATGAAAAAAGACACAATGAAACCCGTTACTATATAATTAATAGATGCAGGTTTAAAAACAAGTGTCGAGGGGCGGGTGGAAGGGAGCTGGAAAGATGGCTCAGTGATTAAGAGTTCATGCTGCTCTTACCCAAGTTCAGTTTCCCAGCACCCATGGCTTGTACATTCTTTTGTTCGTTCGTTTGTTTTTCGAGACAGGGTTTCTCCGTGTAGTTTTGGTGCCTGTCCTGGCTCTCACTCTGTAGACAAGGTTGGCCTTGAACTCACAGACATCCGCCTGCCTCTGCCTCCAGAGTGCTGGGATTAAAGGCGTGTGCCACCGCCGCCCGCACCCATGGCTTGTAACCACCTATAACTACAGCTAAGTGGACTCTGACATCCTCTTCTGACACAACCATCCCAACCCATAAATACGATTAAAAATAAAATCTTTTGTTTATTTATTTATTATATTTATTTATTTATTTATTTATTTATTTATTTTAAAGAAAGCAATCTGCATGCGATAGCTCACACCTACAATCCCAGCACTTGGGATGCTGAAGCAAGAGGATTGTTACAAGTTTGAAGCTAGCTTGGGGGGAGATAACTGTTAGTTCTTTCTCCCCCTAAGATCTTTATCCCATCCAACACACCCTGCATAAGGACCCCCCTGACCCTTCTAGATAATGGGGTAAGAACAGCCCTTGTCAGAGGCTCTCACAGTTAGCTGCTGGATCGTGTGACATAGGAAAGGAGGCCCATGTGCTTGTCCCTGTGATTCTCATTACTCTCTAGTGTGATGGAGGAGACGAGTTATTTTAGGACCGAGGACTGTGTGTCTCTGCCCTAGAACATCCATTTTGTCCCCAAGAGGCAAAGCGACAGTTCTGCACCCATGGTTTCCCTGGGAATTTCTGTCTTCTTTACCTGCTGTTGAGGCAGTTTTCCTTGGCTCTGTGGACAGTGTGTAAACATGGAGCTAAGCGAGGACAGCCACCAGTGTCCATCCTGGAGCCAACTTATCTGGGCGAAATTCTGGCTGTGCTTGGAATCTGAGGCCTTAGGGATGTTCATCTGCGCAGGCCCCAACAACCTTGCATGGAAAATGAAGCCTGTCCTGGCTCTGAGCATTAACTATGCATAACATACCGTGGTAAGCATTTGATTCAAAGAGGGATTGATAATTTTAACATTGTTATTGGCTTAAGAGTGCCAGAGGGATGGATGTGGCGGTGCACACCTTTAATCACACGGGGGGTGGGAGTGGGGGGGGGCAGAGTCAGGTGGATCTCTGTGAGTTTGTGGTCAACCTGGTCTACAGAGTGAGTTTCAAGCCAGCCATGAAAAATCCTGCTGCATCTGGAGCCACTGTGTTCTTCCACCTCAATGGGAGTTCCAGACAGGCAGAAACAGGGAGTGGAGGAGAGAACCAGCTGAGAGTTTTCCTCCATTCCCCACATGCTCCGTGGCATGTAAGTGCAAATGCGTAAACAAACACACACACACACACACACACACACACACACACATATCCACACACGAGTGCACATCCACACACACACAAACCTATTCTGGTTATGTTAAACAGAAAAGGGTGGGGCCTTAGAACGTTACAGGTTTATTTAACATTCTCCAAGGTAAGGAGCAAAACCTCCTGCTGCAAAGAAAACCTTGGGCTGCAAAGGACAGAGGAATCTGGAGGGCAAAGCACAATCACAAGGAGAAATTTCACTTTTCTCCTTCAACATCTCTTTCTCTCTTCACTACAGATGTATGTTGATCACGTCAGCCAGTTTGCGCCAGGCTGAGAACCACTGTCCAGAGATGAGGCGAGTTATTCTCAGAGAGTCCGACAGTATTAATAGGAGAGAACAGAAAGGACAGAAACGACTCTGGTCAATGAAGGGGCTGGGATGTGGCTCTACTTGGTAGAGTGTCTGCCGCACAAGCAGGAAGCCTGGGCTAGATTCCCGGCACTGCATAAATCAGGTGGTGCCTGTAACCTGGTGCTTGGGAGGTGAGGCAGGAGGATCAGAAGTTCAAGGTCACCCTCAGTTGTCTGATAATAAATAATAATAGAAAAATAGCAAAATAAAAATGGAGACTTGCTTTGCTTTGAATGAATGGGTCTTTTACAAAACTGTCTTAAAACCAGTCAACAGTTTTTATATAGTTTTCCAAAGGATGATCTGGACATGCAGGGGCGGGGGGTGGGGGGGCAGACTTATAGTTTGAGCATTTGGGTTGATAAGACAGGAAGATCCCAAGTCTGTTTCCCCTACCACACAGTTTGGATCATCTGAACCATTATCTCTAGTGATATTATCAGCTCTCCAAGATTTCTCTCAAGTAGTTCCAAGAAACCTGGCATGCTACCCCACTGGTCCAGATGGTAAATAGGTGCTGGAGTGGAGATCTGGATTTTGCAGATTTCCCCATAAAAACTGAAGCAGTTTTGTACACAATAAGGCCAGAAATGATGCATGGCCACAAATGTGAAAGTTTCAGCTCCAAAGCACCTCTAAGTCCAAAAGCTATGTTAATTTTCTTTTCTGAGACTACGGCACCCCCTAATGGAGACCGCTATTCATTCTCTCTCTCTCTCTCTCTCTCTCTCTCTCTCTCTCTCTCTCTCTCTCTCTCTCTCTCTCGGTGTGTGTGTGTATGAAAACAATTCATTCTCTCTCTCTCTCTCTCTCTCTCTCTCTCTCTCTCTCT